CTCGCTCATCCTTTTGCCCTTGTCTCAACCCTCACCGCTAGCCATGTTGCCAGACCAGACGGAGAAGGACGACCCAAACGCCCCCAATCAGAATTAAGGAAGCAACTGGCTGTCTCTTCTCCATGCCACCTTGAACTACAGTCTCGGGGCCTAAGCAGTATATTTATTGCGTTTATTCATTGATCTTGATATATCAATCAAATGTATTTATGAAGCCCTTTTTACATCAGCAGATGTCACAAAGTGCTATGCAGAAACCCAGCCTAAAACCCCAAACAGTAAGCAATGCAGATGTAGAAGCACAGTGGCTAGGAAAAACTCCCTAGAAAGGCAGGAACCTAGGAAGAAACCTAGAGAGGAACCAGGCTCTGAAATGGAGATTCTAAGAGTACATGGCCATTAAGGCCAGATTATTCTTCAAGATGACGAGCAGGGTCAAATAATAATCACAGTGGTTGTAGAGGGTGCAACAGGTCGGTACCTCAAGAGTAAATGTCAGTTGGCATTTCATAGTCAAGCATTCAGAGGTCGAGACAGCAGGTGCGGTAGAGAGAGAAAGTCGAAAACAGCAGGTCCGGGACAAGTTAGCACGTCCGGTGAACAGGTCAGGGTTCCATAGCCGCAGGCAGAACAGTTGAAACTGGTACAGCAGCACGACCAGGTGGACTGGGGACTCTGTGGACTGCCAGGAGTCATCAGGCCAGGTAGTCCTGAGGCATATATCACATTTTAAGGGCGTGTCGGACTGAGTAATTGTTTGTCCAGATGTATTTTTATGGGATTGCTATCTAGGAAGATCAGCCCTGCATTCCCTGACATTTAGCGTGTACCATTGCTCCAGGCAGCCACATTATACATTAGCATGTCTACTTATTCTCAGTTTACAGAGAAAAGGTTCTGCACTCGTTATTCACAGGCTAGAATTAGATGGTTGATATACTTGAAAATTATTAGTATTAGATAATGACATTGTGAGAGGTTTATAGATGTGTGAATATTATCTCCCAATTCCAGAGTAGTGTGGGATAGCAAATGTAGCCCAGTTAGTTAAATCAAAAACAATTGTTGGATAACTAGATATTTATGTAGTTGGTGTTTTATATTAACTATGATACACTAAGTGTACAAAACATTAGGAACACTCTTTCCATGACAGACTGACCAGGTGAAAGCTATGATCCCTTATTGATTTAACTTGTTAAATCCACTTCAATTAGTGTAGCTGAAGGGGAGGAGGCAGGTTAAATAATGATTTTTAAGCCTTGAGACAATTGAGACATGGATTGTTTATGTGTGCCATTCAGAGAGTGAATGGGCAAGACAAAAGTTTGAAGTGCCTTTGAACGGGGTATGGTAGTAGATGCCAGGCGCACCGGTTTGAGTGTGTCAAGAACTTTTAACGCTGCTGGGTTTTTCACGTTCAACAGTTTCCCATATGTATCAAGAATGGTCCACCACCCAAAGGACATCCAGCCCACTTGACACAACTATGAGAAGCGTTGGAGTCAACATTGGCCAGCATCCCTTTGGAACGCTTTCGACACCTAGTAGAGTGCATGCCCCGACGAATTGAGGCTGTTCTGAGGGTAATCTCAAAATTAGGAAGGTGTTCCTAATGTTTTGGACACTGTGTACATGGGTTCTAACTTGAAGAATTATTTGTTTGTTTACAATTGTACAATTTATGCTACCCGCATATAAAAACCACAAAGACTGCCGGAAAGCCTCAAACGCTGTCTCCAGTTTTAGCTTGTCATCTAGCTGGCTAGGTTTAGGATATTTACCAGCCCATACCAGTGATAAACGTAGCTATGTTATCGAGATACTCACTCAAACTAAATCTAGCTCACTTATTTTGCTAGCTAGAAAGAAATAGCCACAAATTCATTCAGAAACGGAGGAAGAGGATAGCTAGCTATATCAAGCTAACATTAGCAGCTACCTTTTTAACACAAAGCAACTGACAACATTGATCCTAAGATCCAAAAATTAACTTTTCCAATGAGAAAAATCCACAATCCACCCCTCCAAAGAAAGCATGGCTCTGGGGCTTCTCCAAAATTCCACCAGATCCGTGATCGGCTCCATGGCCGAAGCGTTGCATTTCAGTTTAGCCCGCACTCGGCAGGCTGTATAGAAAACTCCCCTGGAGCCACAGAAAGTCAAAATTACCGCAATGCGCAGCCCCCACAATCACCTTGAAAACTTGCCCTATACAGTAACGGTGAACTCCTTCGCGGCCAATACTACTCTTTCCCATAGGCTTGTACTATCTGTAGTATGACAGCATCAGCAGTTAGCTACCAACAGCTGGCAGACATGTTTACATTTGGTTAGTTTTATCAGTGTTATTTAGATGGAAGACATGCGCTAAATCCGTTATAGCTAGCTAATGTTAGCATAGAGGTACCAAGCTAGCACCTTCACTTACCCGATTGAGTTCCATGCTCTCTGAAGCCCATGATAATGCTCGGTCTCTGCTGGTGCTGCTGGCTGTTTGACATGCTTTAGAAGCCACATTGATGGTAGGGACAGCATCCACTTTGAGAAGGAAGTTCTTGCTGAAGCCCTTCTTCCATTGTTGATAGCCATGGAAGTTCTCATGGATAAAATGTGTCCCGCAGTAAATTTTGAATTCGCCTGCCTCATTCTCATATTCCACTTTTTACAAAGTTTTGTCATTCATTGTGTGATGCTGGCCGCGGGTGTTGTGGGATTTTTTCCTAAGTTAGAGCTGATTTGGAGAAAACCTCTAAACCCAACTTTTAGCACAACTTTATATTATAACAATTGATTTAAGAGTTTTGGGTAATTTGCTAATGTTTTCTTTGTGTTCTAAGTTACTATTATATGTATTTCTGGCATTGAGAAATAAGTGCTACACTCCCTTTAACCGCCCTGGTAGAGCTTTCACATGTAGTTTTATTATTTCACTGACAGGCGCAGACATGCGTATGACCCAACCAGAGTTGGCCAAATGTAGCGTTCAGTTGGTTGCGTAAGTTGCGCTTAACCCACCTCTTTCCCAGGTAATGTGTCTGTAAGGGGAAACATCCTGTTAAACTGTGGAGTGTGGTTGAGTAGCACTGTCTCTTCCTGTAGTAGGTAGGCACTCTGGAACACTAAGAAGCCTGGCCCGCCTCCTACAGCCTCACAGTGACTCACACAGCGTTTACAGTGCCACGGATACGGACTCACTCGGCGGCGCTGCCAAGGGAACCGCTGATTACACACTGGGATAGGTTATCATCAGCACATCCTTAGCTGTCGGGACAAAGGGGATTGCAGGTTAATTGTGTGGCATAGGTGATCATATAGGCATCCTTCCTTGGAGGGGCCTATAGATTTTGATGTGGCAAATGGATAATCATACACATCCAGGGACCGCTGCTTGATTATACTGAGGGATAGGTTGTTGACTTGTCTGTCTTGAGTGTTGATGGCTCTCTACCTGTAGAGTATAGAGTAGCCTCACAATTGGGCATGTTGGGAGGAGCAGGGCCTCTGAATAGGGTTAGTCAGAAAAGTTCCTCTTACCAACAGCACCCCATCTATCAGTGCTATTTATCTGGAGGCCGAGGGCTGCTCTGAGCGAAAGGTGGAGGGACGGTGGACAGATAGGCAAGGGTGTCCTCGGGATTCTCCATTCTCTGCGTCCCAAGATAATGAAGTGGTGGGTGTTTTAAGTGCAGTCCATTATGCCCGAGCCACAGCAACCGCTTTGATCATTGAGGCAATGGAGAGTACAAACAGGTAGCTCATAAATGTAACCATGGCTCTCGCTGAAAAAAGCCTCGGCCCCTGGGTGCTGATGGATGAAGGGTTTAGCCTCTGTAGTTGCCCACTCTGTTTGACACACGAGCGATGTGATATGAAAGACAATCTTTACAGCTGCACCGCTGTCTCAGTTTCAAGGTGAATCATTTGTGATTGACTTCATATTGTGTAGGCCTATGATTTTGCCGCCTTCATGTGTCAGCGATGAGGACGGGAGGACAGAGGGCTCAGCGATGAGGACGGGAGGACAGAGGGCTCAGCGATGAGGATGGGAGGGCAGAGGGCTCAGCGATGAGGACCGAGGGCTCAGCGATGAGGATGGGATGGCAGAGGGCTCAGCGGTGAGGACAGAGGGCTCAGCGGTGAGGATGGGAGGGCAGAGGGCTCAGCTGTGAGGATGGGAGGGCAGAGGGCTCAGCGGTGAGGACAGAGGGCTCAGCGATGAGGAAGAGGGCTCAGCGATGAGGACAGAGGGCCTCAGCGATGAGGACAGAGGGCTCAGCGAGAGGGCTCAGCGATGAGGACAGAGGGCTCAGCGATGAGGACAGAGGGCTCAGCGATGAGGACAGAGGGCTCAGCGATGAGGACAGAGGGCTCAGCGGATGAGGACAGAGGGCTCAGCGATGAGGACAGAGGGCTCAGCGATGAGGACAGAGGGCTCAGCGATGAGGACAGAGGGCTCAGCGATGAGGACAGAGGGCTCAGCGATGAGGACAGAGGGCTCAGCGATGAGGATGAGAGGGCTCAGCGATGTGGACAGAGGGCTCAGCGATGAGGATGGGGAGGGCAGAGGGCTCAACGATGAGGACAGAGGGCTCAGCGACGAGGATGGGAGGGACAGAGGGCTCAGCGATGAGGACAGAGGGCTCAGCGATGAGGATAGAGGGCTCAGCGATGAGGACAGAGGGCTCAGCGATGAGGAGGGCAGGGCAGGGCTCACGATGAGGACAGAGGGCTCAGCGATGAGGAGGCAGAGGGCTCAGCGATGAGGATGGGAGGGCAGAGGGGCTAAACGATGAGGACAGAGGGCTCAGCGATGAGGATGGGAGAGGTCACGATGAAGAGGGCTCAGCGATGAGGACAGAGGGCTCAGCGATGAGGATGGGAGGGCAGAGGGCTCAACGATGAGGACAGAGGGCTCAGCGATGAGGATGGGAGGGCAGAGGGCTCAACGATGAGGAGGAGGGCTCAGCGATAGAGGATGGGAGGGCGAGGGCTCAGCGATGAGGAAGAGGCTCAGCGATGAGATGGGAGGCAGAGGGCTCAACGATGAGGACAGAGGGCTCAGCATGAGGAGGGGGAGGGTCACATGAGGAAGGAGGCAGAGGGGGCTCAACGATGAGGACAGAGGGCTCAGCATGATGGGAGGACAGAGGGCTCAGCGATGAGGGACTAAGAGGGCTCAGAGGATGAGGACGAGAGGGCTCAGCGGTGAGGATGGGAGGGCAGAGGGCTCAACGATGAGGACAGAGGGCTCAGCAATGAGGATGGGAGGGCAGAGGGCTCAACGATGAGGACAGAGGGCTCAGCGATGAGGATGGGAGGGCAGAGGGCTCAACGATGAGGACAGAGGGCTCAGCAATGAGGATGGGAGAGCAGAGGGCTCAACGATGAGGACAGAGGGCTCAGCAATGAGGATGGGAGGGCAGAGGGCTCAACGATGAGGACAGAGGGCTCAGCGATGAGGATGGGAGGGCAGAGGGCTCAGCGATGAGGACAGAGGGCTCAGCGATGAGGATGGGAGGGCAGAGGGATCAATGATGAGGACAGAGGGCTCAGCGATGAGGATGGGAGGGCAGAGGGCTAAGCGATGAGGACAGAGGGCTCAGCGATGAGGACAGGGCTCAGCGATGAGGACAGGAGGACAGAGGGCTCAGCGATGAGGACAGGAGGACAGAGGGCTCAGTGATGAGGATGGGAGGACAGAGGGCTCAGCGATGAGGGCTCAGCGATGAGGATGGGATGACAGAGGGCTTACGCAGAGATGCTTTGAGCTCTGATTTACGTTCAATTCCATGAGCATTTATGGTATAATAGGTCCATTAAACTACATATAACTGGATTATTCATCTCGTTCCACACCTTCTCTATCCTTTTCTTGCCCCCTTTCACTCTTTTGTACAGTACCCTTTACTTTATTTCACTCTCTTGTATACACATCACACACAGTACAGATGAATCATAGCCTGGTCCCCCGCAGATACCACTGAGTGAGTGGGGCGTTGCTGTGTCACACTCACACACACTGTCCCTCAATGACCCCACACAGAGCTTGAAGCCTTCTGGTGCCATTAGTGCATTTCACTTACAGTTATCGACCCCAACCCTAGATAGAGACCCCCACCTTTCTCTCTCTCTCTTTTCATTTCTCTCTCTACCACACTCTCCTGTTCTGCCTCCTCCATTTCTTTCCCTGTGTTCCCCATCTCCCACTGTGCTTTTGACAGTTGGTGAATCGAATGGACATGTTTGATATGTGTGCCGTGAAATAATAATAATGTCCATGCAGGGGTAATCAAAGTACATTCATGGTATGACACCCTATTTTGAGACTAACACAATCATTCATGAATTTAAAAATATGCAGGTATTTATCCTGGAAATTGAAAAGGGGCTGATGTTACAGTGAATAAATGATTATACAGCTACATTGCAACAATACAGCAAGAATGACTTAATGCTGCTACAGCAGCACAGCAATAATTAGCTAATATTGCTACAGAACAGAGCTAATATTGCTACAGAACAGAGCTAATATTGCTACAGAACAGAGCTAATATTGCTAGTAGATGTCTGCCTGCCTGCCTGCCTGCCTGCCTGCCTGCCTGCGTGTGTGTGTGTGTGTGTGTGTGTGTTGCAGTGGTTGTTATCAGCCCCTGGCAGTTGTCTTGAGGTATTTGGTGTCAGGGCAGGATGAGTATCACACTGTTGCTTTATGTCCCGCCTGGCAGCCCTCTCTGGAATGTGGCCCATGTGACTCCACCAGCAGCCAATCAGCTGCCTATACCAGGCTAGAGCAATATGCCTCTGAGTGAGCCCAGGAAAAACACTACCATTTATTTCACTGTCTTGTTTAGGATCAGCTGGCCATGTTCAGCACAGGGTGGTAAAGAGAACGCACTCAAAGCAGTGATATGAAGCTGTGTTAGCTAGTCGCATCTAAGACATGAAATCACTTCATATACAGATTGCATCAGTTAAGGGAAAACCATGTAGTCCAGAAACAGAGTTTAACAATTTGTCCTAGTATTACTAGCCTTGGACCTGTGTCCCCCACTCTCCACTTTACAAACAGAAGCAGAATTTGATTGTTCAATACAAGGTTATTGTCCAATGTTGATCAGAAATGTGTATTTTCCACTGTTTTAGCTTTGTCTTTCTGTCTGTGTTAGTTTGCTCAGTTTGGCGTTGGGTCTCCCTAATTAAGGGTGTCATTTAAGGTCCAGTCCTCCTTGAACACCTGAGAGAGGTGAATGGAGCGTCGTAGCTGCAGATAAAAGGCTTTGTCACCGGCTGTGATGGGTTGTCTGGCGTCTTATCCCATATCCATGGCAGAGCGGCCCCACACCTAATGAGATCTGGCCAGATTAAACCCTGAGTGGAACTACTCAGGGACCCAGAGAGGTGAGTCTTTGAGGTAGAGTAGGTTCCTTGAGATGGACAGGAAATTCAAAACCATTCTGAATACCACTTAAAGGCCTGTCTTTAAGAAGACTCTCTTAGGCACAGCGTCATTAGTTTGAGCAGCTTTAATTCTGAATGAGACATGAACGTGGGTCAAGGAAAGGTGAAACACATGCTTAACATAGTTATTCTCAAAGTAGCTAACCAGTTCAAAAGTAATTCCAGTACACACTTCCAACAATTTCCCATCTACTCCCCAATGCTATTGTTCAACACACTGTGTGAGAGTGGGAGGGATGTGTGACAGGCTGCTTATTTGAACACCAGTGGGACTCTGTCTCTAGTCTGAATCATTAGTCTCCCCCCTTCCCATTCCCCTCTTCCCAATGTCTCTTTTTCTCTTCTTTTCCTGATGGTCTCTGTCTATTTCCCTGAATATAAATATGTTTCCAACACGCACACAAGCACCCTATTTCTCGCTAACATCCACCCACCTCCTCCACCAAGGCAGTGAGATGCAGCACAGTGTCCAACAGCACCCCGTTGCTTTAGAAACCTTGGCCAGTGAAAGGAAGACTAAAGCGTTTTTTACACCAAGGAGATCGAAAGAGACCCAAGCTGTTAGTTAGCTCCTGCTAATCACATATGGCGCCATCTTTGTAGTATGGTGTACCGTGCACTCTGGGAGCCTGTCGCAGAAGTGGGCTCTGCCTGTCATGAAAATGAAATGGTATTACAGAGCTTATGTGTTTAGCGTTGCACGTTGTTCAATGGCAGCTGCCAGTGCCATCCAAATAAGGATATTTCATTCAATGTATGGTTCAGTGTGCTCAGTATGTTCAATGTTAACAAGCGCTATCCTGCCACATTGCCGAAGGCTAATTTTATAGTCAATTAAACTCTAGGGAAATGGTATAGTAAGTAGCAGCAAGCGCTTCTTCAGCATCTCAAAAGTTGCATTACTGTCAGCTGAAGAATGTGTTTTACTCCTCCTTTACCCCATTAGAGCTGTGTGGCTTGTCAGACTGACAATAGGTAATTGGGTGTTGTCATTCTGACACATACATACTGTGCAGAATGGTAGAACTCTTGCCAGCCTCTCCGTCGTCGTGTGTGTCACTCTCCAATTCCTCTTCTGCTAAAAATAAACCGGCGCTGCAGTGATGATGGTGGTGGCGATGACCTGCCTCCAAACCTAGTCTCCAGCACAGAATTGTAATAGGGAGATGTGGCTGATGCAGAATCCTTAATGGATTTATCTTTGCCTCCCTCCGTTTTGATTCTGTTATTCTCTATATCTACCCATCGCCACGGTAGATGTAATGTATTGAAACATGCTTAGTCATAATCGAGTAAAGAGGAAGTTGTCCTACGCCCCCTCTGTAAATTACTGCCAGTTGTGTTCATGCAGCACAGCATAAATATGATTTGCTCTCAGGGGTCGCGTTAGCTTTCAGAAGTCTGCATTTTCAAAACGCAGACCCTCTCAAAATCTGTGTGTTAATAGATTTCACCTGCCTTCTAATTAAACCAAATCGACAATAAATACATGGCTCCACTCAGTGTTCTAGAATGCAGGAAAATACGGGTCAGTTCAAAATGGTGCTATGTGAATACTTCGTTTTCTTTACCCTATGTCATTATAATCACATGCAATAATCAGTAGTCTGAACGATATTATAGCCGTAATATGCTTGTAGCCTACTCGACAGTGTTGAAGAAATACGAACGCTATAGGTCCGTTGGAAAAATGTAACGCTCGCAACACGCATCTGATTTAATTAATTATTAATAGGATTAATTTGATTTCATTCTTTTACATTTTTCATTGTAACCACTATTATTATTGTCGATCAACAATGGCATGCCACCGGGGTCTGACAATTTGGATGGAAAATTACGGAGGATAATAGCGGACGATATTGCCACTCCTATTTGCCATATCTTCAATTTAAGCCTACTAGAAAGTGTGTGCCCTCAGGCCTGGAGGGAAGCAAAAGTTATTCCCATACCTAAGAATAGTAAAGCCCCCTTAACTGGGTCAAATAGCCGACCAATCAGCCTGTTACCAACCCTTAGTAAACTTGGAAAAAATGGTGTTTGACCAGTTAAAATGCTATTTTACAGTAAACAAATTGACAACAGACTTTGAGCACGCTTATAGGGAAGGACATTCAACAACCACAGCACTTACACAAATGACTGATGATTGGCTGAGAGAAATGGATAAAAATATTTTGGGGGCTGTTTTGTTAGACTTCAGTGCGTCTTTTGACATTATCGGTCATAGTCTGTTGCTGGAAAAACGTATGGCTTTACACCCCCTGCTATATTGTGGATAAAGAGTTACCTGTCTAACAGAACACAGAGGGTGTTCTTTAATGGAAGCCTCTCCAACAAAATCCAGGTAGAATCAGGAATTCCCCAGGGCTTTGAGTAAAGCCAGTGTGTCTATGTATGCGGATGACTCAACACTATACACGTCAGCTACCACAGCGGCTGAAATGACAGCAACACTTAACAAAGAGCTGCAGTTAGTTTCAGAATGGGTGGCAAGGAATAAGTTAGTCCTAAATATTTCAAAAACTAAAAGCATTGTATTTGGGACAAATCATTTACTAAACCCTAAACCTGAACTAAATCTTGTAATGAAAAATGTGGAAATTGAGCAAGTTGAGGAGACTAAATTGCTTGGAGTAACCCTGGATTGTAAAATGTCATGGTCAAAACATATTGATACAACAGTAGCTAGGATGGGGAGAAGTTGTCTATAATAAAGCGCTGCTCTACATTCTTAACAGCACTATTAGCAAGGCAGGGCCTACAGGCCCTAGTTTTGTCGCACCTGGACTACTGTTCAGTCGTGTGATCAGGTGCCACAAAGAGGGATTTAGGAAAATTGCAATTGGCTCAGAACAGGGCAGCACGGCTGGCCCTTGGATGTAAACAGAGCTAACATTAATAATATGCATGTCAATCTCTCCTGGCTCAAAGTGGAGGAGAGATTGACTTCATCACTACTTGTATTTGTGAGAGGTATTGACATGCTGAATGCACCGAGCTGTCTGTTTGAACTACTGGCACACAGCACAGACACCCATGCATACCCCACAAGACATGCCACCAGAGGTCTCTTCACAGTCCCCAACTCCAGAACAGACTATGGGAGGCGCACAGTACTACATAGAGCCTTGACTACATGGAACTCTATTCCACAAGTAACTCATGCCAGCAGTAAAATAAAAATTTAAAAACAGATAAAAATATGCCTTATGGAACAGTGGGGACTGTGAAGCAACACAAACATAGACACATGCATACAAACACACGATAACATACGCACTATACACACATGTACACATGGATTTTGTGTTATAGATATGTGGTAGTAGAGTAGAGGCCTGAGGGCACACACTTAATATGTTGTGAAATCTGTTATGAATGTATTGTAATATTTTTAATGTTTAACTGCCTTAAGTGTGAAAACATCGACATAATAAACATTGTCAACATAAATGTGCGCCTTTCTTACTTCCTCATCTCCCTCCTTTGCTCTCTGTTTTCTCCTTTCGGCACCCTGGTCAAAAAGGGTGCATGCCCTAGCAAAGTAAACATTTCAATAGTACAGTGCCTTTGGAAAGACCCCTTGACTTTTTCCACATTTTGTTACGTTACAGCCTTATTCTAAAATATATTATTTTTAAAACAAGTACTCAGCAATCTACACACAATACCCAATAATGACAAAGCAAAAACAGTTTTATTTTTGCAAATTTATTAAAAATAAAAACAGATACCATATTTACATTAAGTATTCAGACCCTTTGCTATGAGACTCAAAATTGAGCTCAGGTGCATCCTGTTTCCATTGATCATCCTTGATGTTTCAACAACTTGATTGGAGTCCACCTGTGGTAAATTCTATTGATTGGTCATGATTTGGAAAGGCACACACCTGTCTATAAAAGGTCCCACAGTTGTCAGAGCAAAAACCAAGCCATTAGGTCGACGGAATTGTCCATAGAGGCACAGATCTGGGGAAGGGTACCAAAACATTTCTGCAGCATTGAAGGTCCACAAGAACACAGTGGCCTCCATCATTCTTAAAATGGAAGAAGTTTGGAACCACCAAGACTCTTCCTAGAGCTGGGCGCCCGGCCAAACTGAGCAATCAGGGGAGAAGGGCCTTGGTCAGGGAGGTGACCAAGAACCCAATAGTCAGTCTGACAGAGCTCTAGAGTTCCTATGTGGAGATGGGAGAACCTTCCAGAAGGACAACCATCTCTGCAGCACTCCACCAATCAGGCCTTTATGGTAGAGTGGCATGACTGAAGCCACTCCTCAGTAAAAGGCACATGACAGCCCGCTTGGAGTTTGCCAAAAGGAACCTAAAGACTCTCAGACCATGAGAAACAAGATTCTCTGGTCTGATGAAACCAAAATTGAACTCTTTGGCCTGAATGTCAAGCATCATGTCTGGAGGAAACCGGGCACCATTCCTACGGTGAAGCATGGTGGTGGAAGCATAATGCTGTGGGGATGTTTTTCAGCGGCAGGGACTGGGAGACTAGTCAGGATTGAGGCAAATATGAACAGAGCAAAGTACAGAGAGATCCTTGATGAAAACCTGTCCAGAGCGCTCAGGACCTCAAACTGGGGCGACGGTTCACCTTCCACCAGGACAACGACCCTAAGCACACAGCCAAGACAATGCAGGAGTGGCTTCGGGACAAGTCTCTGAATGTCCTTGAGTGGCCCAGCCAGAGCCCGGACTTGAACCCGATCTAATCGACTCCCTTCACGTACCCTCTCCCCACAGACAGGCAGACAAGTGGTTTGGAGGGTTGATGAGACGTTTCGGATCTATTAAATGTTTGAACTTGAAATGTAATGTCATGGTCAATACACCTGCATTTTCAGAATGCAACACATTTAGTTTAGCTGTTTTTTTTTTGTAAAACAGAATTCAAATTTGTGCTTTAGCTAGACTAAATCTCTATGCTCTGTTAGAAATTAGTGATGAGTGCTACATTTCTATGTAAACAGCCTACAGTCCTCGCAAATGCTCTCTTTAACACACACACACACACAGACGCATGTATGTACACACACACACACACACACACACACACTACTCCGGATTATAGGGATTGGGCTGCCTCTGTGAGCAATGGGCATTGGGCCAACGCACTAACAGGCTGGTCTTTAGATCATACAATGGTTTTACTCTTCCTACAGTGCCTTCAGAAACTATTCACACCCGTTGACCTTTTCCACATTTTGTTGTTTCAAAGTGGGATTAAAATTGATTTAATTGTCTTTTTTTTGGTCAATAATCTACATAAAATACTCTGTCAATAAATAAATAATAATATTCATGTAAAATAAAACCCTGATATCTTGATTAGATAAGTATTCAACCCCCTGAGTCAATACATGTTAGAATCACCTTTGACTGCGATTTACAGCTGTCTTTCTGGGTAAGTCTCTAAGAGCTTTGCACACTTGGATTGTACAATATTTGCCCATTATTCTTTAAAAAATTATTCATGTTTTATCAAGTTGGATGTTGATGATTGCTAGACAGCCATTTTGAGGTCTTGCCATAGCCTCATGGTGAAATCCCTGAGCGGTTTCCTTCCCCTCCGGCAAGGGAGTTAGGTAGGGTGCCTGTATCTTTGTAGTGAATGATACAGCATCCAAAGTTAATTAATAACTGCACCATGCTCAAAGGAATATTCAATGTCTGCTTTAAAAAAATATATATATACATCTACCAATAGGTCTCCTTCTTTACGAGGCATTGGAAAACATCCCTGGTCTTTGTGGTTGAATCTGTGCTTGAAATTCACTGCTAGACTGAGGGACCTTACAGCAGGGGAGGCTGCTGAGGGGAGGACGGCTCATAATAATAGCTGGAACGGCGCAAATGGAATGACATCAAACCATGTGTTTGATACCATTCCACCTGTTCCGCTCCAGCCATTACCACAAGCCCGTCCTCCCCAGTTAAGGTGCCACCAAACAAGATTTTTGTTTTTTATTAATTTGTAAACATTTCAAAAAACATAATTACACTTTCACATTATGGGTTATTGTGTGTAGACCAGTGACACAAAATGTAAATTAAATCCATTTTAAATTCAGGCTGTAACGCAACAAAATGTTGAAAAGTCAAGGGGTGTGAAAATTTTTTGAAGGCACTGTAAGTAATCTCTTATATTTGTGGTAGCTAACTTTGAATGCAGAACTTTAAACCGTTCTGTGAGTGTTTTAGTCAGGCCTTCTTTATTTGTTGGACATTTTTGATCTGACTGAACAATACAATAAAACTGTTTCCATGCATCCTAGACATTCGATTAGGCCTGTCTCTAGTTTCTAGTTTTTCAAAGGCAACTTGTCTTTCAGTCCCAATATTTTGAGGAGACCTGGTGAACGTAAACTAAACTCAGCAAAAAAAGAAAGGTCCCTTTTTCAGGACCCTGTCTGTCAAAGATAATTTGTAAAAATCCAAATAACTTCACAGATCTTCATTGTAAAGGGTTTAAACACTGTTTCCCATGCTTGTTCAATGAACCATAAACAATTAATGAACATGTGGAACAGTCGTTAAGTCACTAACAGCTTACAGACGTTAGGCAATTAAGGTCACAGTTATGAAAACTTAGGACACTAAATAGGCCTTTCTACTGACTCTGAAAAACACCAAAAGAACGATGCCCAGGGTCCCTGCTCATCTGCGTGAACGTGCCTTAGGCATGCTGCAAGGAGACATGAGGACTGCAGATGTGGCCAGGGCAATAAATTGCAATGTCCGTACTGTGAGACGCCTAAGACAGCGCTACAGGGAGACAGGACGGACAGCTGATCGTCCTCGCAGTGGCAGACCAGGTGTAACAACACCTGCACAGGATCGGTACAGCCGAACATCACACCTGCGGGACAGGTATAGGATGGCAACAACAACTGCCCGAGTTACACCAGGAACGCACAATCCCTCAATCAGTGCTCAGACTGCCTGCAATAGGTTGAGAGAGGCTGGACTGAGGGCTTGAAGGCCTGTTGTAAGGCAGGTCCTCGCCAGACATCACCGGTGACAACGTCGCCTATGGGCACAAACCCACCGTCGCTGAACCAGACAGAACTGGCAAAAAGTGCTCTTCACTGACGAGTCACAGCAAGAACTGACAAATCTGGTGCAGTCCATGCGGAGGAGATGCACTGCAGTACTTAATGCAGCTGGTGGCCACACCAGATACTGACTGTTACTTTTGATTTTGACCCCCCCTTTGTTCAGGGACACATTATTCAATTTCTGTTTAGTCACATGTCTGTGGAACTTGTTCAGTTTATGTCTCAGTTGTTAAATCTTGTTCATACAAATATTTACACATGTTCAGTTTGCCCGAAAATAAACACAGTTGACAGTGAGAGGACGTTTCCTTTTTTTGCTGAGTTTAGAAATAGAAGGTAATCTGTGGTCTCAGGAGACCTGAAATGAAATGCTTCCAGGCTGAATACATTAGTAGCCCAAACACACTGCTGCTCCCCCACAGGTTTCACCTGCTAAAAATAGAGAAAGCAGGAATCATGCAGAAAGGGAACCAGCACTGTCAGAGAGAGAGATGATCGATTTGCCTTATTTATTCGTTCAAGAAGGCGGCGGCCACGTCCATGTCTAGGCAGTTTCCTGTGAAAGGCCAGTCTGCTGTGGCTCGTGACGGAGGTGCTCTATTCGCTGAACCTGAAGCTACCACTGGTTGCTGCGCTCGTTTAGGTGAATTCAACCAGCATTTTATTGGCCTCCATGATAGTTCATAAATACCACAGTTCACAAAGGCAAGGCCACATATAGCTGTTCTGTTTCCCTCCTAGTCCTCATGCTTCTCCCTATTCGATTAGGCCTGTCTGTACTTTCTAGTTTTTCAAAGGAAACTTGTCTTTCAGTCCCAAGATTTTGAGGAGACCTGCGTCTCCCTCTTCTGTCCTTCAACACTTCCTGTATGTTTGGATCGTGCTGTGGCTGTTTTCATGGTAACGCACCCGCACAGCAGATGACAGCCTACTTATCGTCCCTCACTCAGCATATTAGTGGAATAAACTGCTACTGTTCTCTGTTGAGTATATTAAAACGATGATAGGAGACTCGCAGCTCTCATCTCTCTAGATGCAAGGGAAGCCTTCCTCTGTTTCCCAGCTGCAGTGGTAGCTGTACACATCTACATTGGAAAAAAGATGTGTAGCCTAAATTCTAATTTATTTTCTGTCTTTGTTTTGATTTAAAAGTTAGTATAACCTATTGATATGCAACCTGATCATTCACTACCAATTTCATAGATATCTTAATTTCTCGATAAAGGACTAGTAGGCTAGTTATTCTGCTATGTATTTTACGCCATGTCTGTTCTGGTAGTGGTACCGTAATGCTGTGTTGATTGCTGAATTGATGTGAAACACTTAAAGGCCATCTTCAACGGAAAAGTAATCTTGTCCGCTAGCGTGGGGAGGGACATCTAGAGCCCTGGCATGAATTTTAAGCCCTACCCATTCCCCCGACGTTCAGGCCTTACCCCGGCCCGATTGCTTCTGCCAGATTTAAGGCCCTGCCCGAAATCAGAAATAACTTCCTCCATTAGTAAATCCATTAGCTGCTCCTATGTCTGTCACTCGCTCCCTGTGCGCAGCTCGCTCTGCATGCGCTCTGCCCATGGCGCTCAGAGTCCGAGTATCCATAGCAACAGCTCTGCTTGGGCTGCTCTGCTCAATGACGAGACATGAGAGAGCAGTTAGCTACTTTTAGTCACTAAACTCCGACAAAACTCAAGGAACGTTATTATTTTCTTTGAAATAATCTCTCCTGTCTTATATTTGATGAGGTTGAAGCACTTTTGACACAATGTTATGATCTTAGTCAGATATGACTGTACTGCGCAGCAGAGCATGAGCAAATGGCTTCAAAATGTTAGTGATACCCAAGCCCTACCCGTACCCTAGTTATTGATGAAAAAACACGCCCTACCTGGCCCTAACCCGATGTATAATGTCAGGGGCCCGTCGGGCTCGGGTCGGATAGCAGAGCTCTAAGGGCATCCCATTCCGATGTCCTGGGAATACCCATCATCCCAGGCATTAAAATACATTGATTGTTTCTGGGTCACAAGGCTCTTAATTATGAGTTACCCCTTGGGCACTACCATTTACAAATGTCTTCAACGAGAACTTTCTCACCAGAAGTAATTGTCCCATGATGTGTGATGATTAAGAAGCGCTAGGCCTATATCTTCATTTCTCCAGCTAAATATGGGACACTTTTGAATCTCCTGTTGTGGTCATATTACTGGAAAACCATGTTTTTAAAGAAGTCAGGGATAAGGAGGCTAGGACTATCATGAGGCTTTTAAGGAAGTCGACAGCAGCTAGGAATTTGGCTATAAAGTTGTATTCTTAGACTTCAGTCTGATTGTTACAAACTGCATTGGACATGAAATGCCTTGGGAAATATCATTCTGGTTCTTCTTTCATTTATGTATTGTAATGAATAATAAAGTGTCTTGTAATACCTCTTGTCTTGTAATATGTCTTGTGACCACCTGTGTAATCTTTGAATTTCATGTAGCTCTCCAAACCTAAGGTTGAAGTTTGCCATGTTCAGTGGGTAAATGTTTGCCATTTGTCCAAGTGCTTTTGTGTAATTTTTTTTTTAGCAGTTTTAGTATATTCATAAAATGCCCTCTTGTTCACAGATCTGCACCAACATTTTCCGGACTCTTCCGCCGAGTGACAACCCTGATTTTGACCCAGAGGAGGACGAGCCTACTCTCGAGGCCTCATGGCCACACATACAGGTAAAACCATGTCACTTCAACTTCTCTTTACCTACGTGTTATACCTGCTAGTATGAGCTATATGTATATTTCATTTGCCTCAGATTTAGTTCATTGACTTTTCCCAGCTTGTCTACGAGTTCCTCCTGCGATTCTTGGAGAACCCAGACTTTCAGCCCAGCATCGCCAAGCGCTACATTGATCAGAAGTTCGTGCTGCAGGTAAGCATCGCAATCTGATGTCACAGTGACCCGTCAATGACCCTTATCCCCTCAGGTTTCATGCCATCATCGTCAGTCAAATGGCCACATGACAGCGACCATCAGCAGGGGCGGGTTCACTAGGAGGCAAACGGGCCAAAACATTGAACTTGTCCAATAAGATAGACTTATTTTCCATTCTAAACGTTTTCCGTTGCGTACACCCCTGGTTTGTCAGTGTTGTTCAAAGCTATTGTATTGATTCATCAAACATTGTAGAGAGACTGATTTTCTGTTGTTTACTGATGTCACTGTCGGTTCTCTGTGGAACAAAAAGGGTACACGCAGACCTAAGGCCAAACTAAGTGAGGCCAAAAAGACAGACCTGGCAGCCTTACAAGCCTCAGACTGACTGCTTAACATCTACTCTTCAAAAGACTTGAGTACAATACATCAAACACGAACCACGTTGGAATAATCATTTGATAAATGAATCTGTTTTGTTAAAAGTGGTCGTTTTGATTTGGCTTTGAACAAAAGCGGCACCGATGTCCAATTCTGTTTTGTGCTCCAGAGCAGAAAGGTCAGAGTATGACCGACCGAAAACAATGAACATGTTTGATTGATTATTTCTCCTGGCAGTTATCAAAGCCTGTTTTTTTAACATGACATCCTGTGGAAGTTCCTTTGGAGTATGAAATTTTACAACAAGTAAATTTCTTCAGTGTTAGTCTCAGCATTTAGCCTAGCTTCTCACGGGCACATCTGCCCTGATCCCAGATTGCCCTAGTATATCTCAATGGTATTTCACCATCTTAACGTCCCACCTTGGGTCGTATTCATTAGGCACCAAAAGGTAGAAAACAGACTGAAACTGGAAGAGACAACCTGACATTTCCGTTACAAAACTTTTTCTGTGGTGTGCCCTAATTAATACGACCCCGTCTCACCCTTGCTGGAGCGCTTCAGCGGCAACCTGCTGGGGCTGGGGCGTGCGTATTTATCGAGCCGCCCTCCTCTCCCCAGAGCGAGGGAATAAACAGGGACGAACGCTATGGCCTGGAATGTTGGCTGAGCTGCAGCATCCGAGGTGCTCTGGCTGAGTTTCCATGATGCGAGTGGTGGAGTGGTGTCGTGGGGGAGCTTTAAATAACTCCCCATTGTTTACCCTGCTGGAAGGGAAAAGGGGACTGTGGTCGGAAAGAGGCTGGTGAAAGGGCCGGGCTGAGGAGGGGACAGAGAGGGCAGGACCTGTTTTTTTTGTGGTAGTTTTACTCTGCTCTCTATGATTGTTGGAGACAGACCTTGACATGGGAGAGGGACTGTACAATCAGCTCACAGTGGAACATTAGTGTATTTATAGCCGACTGTATTTAATTTAATCAGGGTGAGCTGTCAGGACATATTTTATGCATAGTTATTTATTAGGGAAATTGCACCCTCTGTGAATGTAGTAGTCTTTGAAATTGTGTAGTGTGTGTGTACAGAGGGGAAGGAAGTACAGCCCTGTCATTACCAGAGTTGCAGAGGTGTTGTCACCATAGAACGGCTTCCTGTCGCTCTGCTGATGCTGGACAAAAAACTCCTCTCAAAACATCAACATGAGAGCCTTAAGTGTCATACTTTCCCAAATATTCAATTGAATCAGTTTGAAGAAATTAAAGCATCATATTCAATATTTCCAGGTGATGTACATATTGCAGCGCGACTGGTTTTTCTCCCAGTTACTGAATGCCCACTAAAGAATGGAATAAATACAATTGTACCATGATATTTGCTTAGAAAGCTGTCTTTCAAAGTCCCAATAGTTCCAAATGTTTTGATATTTAACAAGGAAGCCGTTGAGTCCAGATCTTATGTAGCCTATGTTCTTGTCTCTGGATGTGTCACAGATAGTCATCATGCAGAGCTCATTGTGTGGTTAACGGCTGCTGCTGTGGTATGATCAGAACGCCTGTGTCTTCACTGTCAGCTATGTGCTTGTCATGGCAGGGGGACTGGGAGAGGGCCTGCTGGGACAACAACATGGCAGGGGAATCACTCAACACATTCTGTTTTGACTGGCTGACTGACTGACTGGCTGACAGCAGTGAGGAGTTATTCTCACCAGCCCCGCCCATATCCTGAAACTGAACAAACCCTTTGCTGTTGAACAAGGGTTCTAGTCATTTGAAAAGATGCTTTGCTAGAACTGAACTGAAACTCTCTGTTCCCTTGTTCCTCACTTTTTACTTTCTGTTTGAACCTATATCTGTCTCTGTATACTGTGTATGTGTGCACATGCAAAATTCACACACACAAACACAATTTGGTACCCTTAAGTATTGTTAAGCAGTATTGCCTCTGCTTCCTGTATCTAATACAGGTTAGGCTACTGACTGTAGAAAGAGGCTATTTGCACAAGTCTAATCCCGATCATTAGATATATGCTGTGAATCCATTATTGTCAAAACATAACAATACTTACAGTGACCTCCGTACGCTCTCTCTATGTTCTCCCCCTCCTAATGCACGGTTAGCCTGTCCAGGCAGAGCTCTCTGTGAGGGGTCTACCTGTGACCTGTCTCTCAAATGGCACCCTGTTCCCTATAGGGAATCCCAAAGGGCTCTGGTGAAAAGTAGTGCACTAAATAGGGTGTCATTTCGGATGCTGCCCGCGTCTCTGATTTGAACAATTAAATGGCGCCGTCACGTCATTGGCACGCAGTCGAAAGGAAAGAGAGCTCCAGGCAGGCAGGCCAGGGGGGCTGTTTTAACCTTTGAGCACAGACTGAGGCTTAGCCGGGGAAGAGAGGAAGAGCGAGGAAGTGCTGGAGGTCACAACCTCCCCGTGGATACACCCCACTTGTTTACTTAGCTGCTCCAGACCCACTTCCTCCATCCCTCTCTGACTTCTCAATCAACATACTGCATACAACTACAGTGTAGACTGTACGCGCATTACAACACTCCCTTATTAAAAGTCTGTCTAGAGCTCTCTCAAATGCATGCACACGTGTATAGTGAGGACACACCGCGCACAGCAGGGGGTGCGATGATGGCTTTTCTGTCAAGCTCACCCGACACCTGAAAGGCATTGACATGCATTTGTTTATTTTAGCTTCTCTCCTAGAGCTGCACATAAACAGACAGGATTAGGATCAGCCATTTTGTTTATGCGTCATTCTCCTTCCAACCCGGTCTCAGTGGGTGTCTGGGCTTTGTAAAAATAGAGACCGGTTGTTCTGCTTCCCTATCGATAACACTAGAGGTACTTTCTCTGAGGTTTAGCAGAATGTTGCTCTTCGTGCTGCTGCTTTTATCTGCAGCAGCAGGTAGCCTTAGACCTGCAGAGAAAATAACTACTTTGAGTGTAGCTTTTAGAAACCTATTGGCTTCTTCTGAAAAATTGTAATTTCAGTTGAACCATGCATGACACATCAGTAATGACCCTTTTGCAGAGAAAATGGACATTGTTGGAGGTTGGTTGGAACATAAGCTCTAATGTCACAGTGAGAGTGAGTTTATGTGCACCGATTTGACTTCAAAGCAGCCGTATTGTGTTTGAACACGGCCAAAGGCATTTAAGAGAAACCAAGTGCTAGCTGGTACCTTCACATTGTCAGAGGCATGAAAGGCGGCATTTTAGACAGCTGGGTTGTGTTCAGTAGGGAGAAAACGTATTGAAACGAGGAGATATTTAGAATCTGTCCGCTAAGAACACAGAATTTTTGTTGTAAAACATTTTGCTGCGCACTTCTGAACACTAGGCTTGGGCAGTATACCGTATACTGGGGAATTTAGAAATTATTTTCAATACTGACTCGCAGGGGTGTGTGCTATGCCACTGCTTATACTATAAGTTAACTATCTAAGACGGGGGTGTGAAACTCATTCCATGTAGGGCCTAGTGTCTGCAGGCCCTAGATGACCAGCTGTGAGGAGTTCCTTACTAATTAGTGACCGTAATTCATCAATCAAGTACAAGGGAGGAGTGAAAACCCGCGGACACTCGGCCCTCCGTGGAATGAGTTGACACCTGTGGTCTATACTGAACAAAAATTTAAACGCAACATGCAACAATTTCAACGATTTTACTGAGTTACAGTTCATATAAGGAAATCAGTCAATTGAAATAAATTCATTAGGCCCTAATCTATGGATTTCACATGACTGGGCAGGGGCGCAGCCATGGTTGGGCCTGGGAGGGCATAGGCCCACCCATTTGGGAGCCAGGCTCAGCCAATCAGAATTAGTTTTTCCCCACAAAAGGGCTTTATTACAAACAGAAATACTCCTCAGTTTCATCAGCTGTCCGGATGGCTGGTCTCAGACGCAGGTGAAGAAGCTGGATGTGGAGGTCCTGGACTGGCGTGGTTACACGTGGTTGTGAGGCGTACTGCCAAATGTTGGACGTACTGCCAAATTCTCTAAAATGACGTTGGAGGCGGCTTGTGATAGAGAAATGAACATTAAGTTCTCTGGCAACAGCTCTGGTGGACAGTCCTGCAGTCAGCATGCCAATTGCACGCTCCCTCAAAACTTCAGACATCTGTGGCATTGTGTTGTGTGACAAAACTGCACATTTTAGTGGCCTTTTATTGTCTCCAGCACAAGGTGCATCTGTGTAATGCTGTTTAATCAGCTTCTTGATATGCCACACCTGTCAGGTGGCTGGATTATCTTGGCAAAGGAGAAATGCTCACTAACAGGGATGTAAACAGATTTGTGAACAGAATTTTAGAGAAATAAACTTTTTGTGCATATGGAAAATGTCTGAACTTTTATTTCAGCTCATGAAACATGGGACCAACACTTTACATGTTGCGTTTATATTTTTGTTCAGTATATAATGTGATCTAAGATTATCTCCAGCTCAGGGCTCCAGCTCTGCATTTTGTTTGCTAACTTTCTAGCTAAGTCGCTAGCTTGCAAGATCAAACTTATTGGGTACAGCAGAGACCAGCAATCCCCTGCTGGATCAAGATTCCTGCTGATTCGGTATGAAGGTATGACAATCTGGATACCGCCCAACCCTACAGAACACAACCCCGGTCAGTGTTGTTCTGTATTGTGCCCTGTTCTACATCTGTAATGTATCATTAGCTAGGTGGTTAGACTGTGTTGACTTAGCTTGTTAACACCAATAGTGTAACAGCCCTCTACTCTCAGGATATTTTCATCATTCATACAGTGAAACGTATCGACTGACTGATGACGAACGTACAGTCTGTGTGCCTCTGGGAGCTTTGTCTCAGAGACATCATGGGCTCTTCTTGGATGACCTTGCAGAAAAGAACAATTCGCTCAGCTCCCAGACCCCAGTGCTACTGTAACATAACAGACACAGCAGAGGTCAAGTTCAGGACAAAATGCATTAGCCTCTGGGTGAAATCCCACTGGTCAGGTCTTGATGATCACTGATGGTGATTGAATATTGACCCTGGCCCCGGGCCTCCTGCATGGCTGAATTGTAGTCTTGTCCGGGCCACGTCCCAACACTATCAAGCAGCATCATCCTTGACTATGGCCTATTTCCTTGTCCTCGCTGATTTGAGCGGACTTGATGGATGCAGGCCAAGTAGCATTGCAAGAATAAAGCTGAATACAGCAGTTAGCTGTACATTAGCTTCCCGCATTTGGAGTGACGACACAAGTTCATACAGTAGGTCAAAGGAGGCTATTAAGAGTATTGGGATGCAGCCTAGTATCATCTGTGTGTCTGCAACGGAAGAGTCTGTTGCCTTGGTGCCAGGCTGGGGGAGGAGGGCTGGACTGTAATGGGGGCACGGTTCTGCTGGAATGGCAACCCTGTCATTGTGGTTCTGGCAACCCCATAGAATGACGAAAACCCACATTTTAGGAACAGGCTGACATCAGAGCTAGCTAGGCTATTTCTCTGGGCTCAGTGGCATGTTCCTAAACCGCTCCTCTCCTTTAAACCGTAACGTTACAGTACTATTGACTGATCCTAAACCGCTCCTCTCCTTTAAACAGTACTAATGACTCATCACACTGAAGGCTGGAAATATACTTTTTTATTCCAGGGGTTTGTATCTATACTGAACAATTTCAAAGATTTTACTGCGTTACAGTTCATATAAGGAAATCAGTCAATTGAAATAAATGAATTCGTCCCTAATCTATGGATTTCACATGAGTGGGAATACAGATATGCATCTGTTGGTCATAGATACCTTTAAAAAAAGGCAGGGGCGTGGATCAGAAAACAAGTCAATATTGGGTGTGGCCACCATTTATTTGCCTCATGGGGCCACTCTGTTCACAATGTTGACATCAGCAAACCGCTCGCCCACACGACGCCATACACATGGTCTGCGGTTGTGAGGCCGGTTGGATGTACTGCCAAATTCTCTAAAATGACGCTTATGGTAGAGAAATTAACATTAAATTCTCTGGCAACAGCTCTGGTGGACATTCCTGCAGTCAGCATGCCAATTGCATGCTCCCGCAACTTGAGACATCTGTGGCATTTTGTTGTTGCGTGCGCAACTATGGGGCAAAACAGACGGGGTTGGCTTAAATTGTTGACATGTAAACTATATTTCGTCTCCAATGTTTATTGAAAACAAATACATTTGCACAATGAGCACTTCTCTCAAATACATCGTTAGATTTTTTTATTTGTATTATTACAGATAGATTGTGGCTTCTGTCAATGTAATTGTCTGCATCATTTTCAATCCCCCATATACACTACCAGTCAAAAGTTTTGGACACACCACCTCATTCAAGGGTTTTTCTTTATTTTTACTATTTTTTTTACATTGTAGAATAATAGTGAAGACATCAAAACTATGAAATAACACATATGGAATCATGTAGTAACCAAAAAAGTGTGGTGTGTGATGACAGCTTTGCACACTCTTCGCATTCTCTCAACCAGCTTCATGAGGTAGTCACCTGGAATGCAGTGTGCCTTCTTAAAAGTTAATTTGTGGAATTTCTTTCCTTCTTAATGCGTTTGAGACAATCAGTTGTGACAAGGAAGGGCGGGTATACAGAAGATAGCCCTATTTGGCAAAAGAGCAAGTCCATATTATGGCAAGAACAGTTCAAATAAGCAAAGCGAAACGTCAGTCCATCATTACTTTAAGACATGAAGGTTAGTCAATACGGAACATTTCAAGAACTTTTAAAGATTCTTCAAGTGCAGTCGCAAAAACCATCAAATGCTATGGTGAAACTGCCTCTCATGAAGAACGCCACAGGAATGGAAGACCCAGAGTTACCTCTGCTGCAGAGGATAAGTTCATTAGAGTTACCAGCCTCAGAAATTGCAGCCCAAATAAATGCTTCACAGAGTTCAAGTAACCGACACATCTCAACATCAACTGTTCAGAGGAGACTGTGTGAATCAGGCCTTCATGGTCGAATTGCTGCAAAGAAACCACTACTAAAGGACACCAATAAGAAGAAGAGACTTGCTTGATCCAAGAAATACGAGCAATGGACATTAGACCGGTGGAAATGTGTCCTTTGGTCTGGAGTCCAAATTTGAGATTTTTGGTTCCAACCGCCGTGGCTTTGTGAGACGTGGTGTGGGTGAACGGATGATCTCTGCATGTATATTTCCCACCGTAAAGCATGGAGGAGGAGGTGTAATGGTGTGGAGGTGCTTTGCTGGTGACACTGTCTGTGATTTATTTAGAATTCAAGGCACACTTAACCAGCATGGCTACCACAGCATTCTGCAGCGATACGCCATCCCATCTGGTTTGGGCTTAGTGGGACTATCATTTGTTTTTCAACAGGACAATGACCCAACACACCTCCAGGCTGTGTAAGGGCTATTTTACCAATAAGGAGAGTGATGGCGTGCTGCATCAGATGACCTGGCCTCCACAATCCCCCAACCCCAACCCAATTGAGATGGTTTGGGATGAGTCGGACCGCAGAGTGAAGGAAAAGCAGCCAACAAGTGCTCAGCATATGTGGGAACTCATTCAAGACTGTTGGAAAAGCATTCCAGGTGAAGCTGGTTGAGAGGCCAAGAGTGTGCAAAGCTGTCAGTAGGTGTGTCCAAACTTTTGACTGGTATTGTGTGTGTGTGTGTGTGTGTGTGTGTGTGTGTGTGTGTGTGTGTGTGTGTAAAATATATATATATACTGTGTGTTGATATACACAGTATCTCACAAAAGTGAGTACACCCCTCACATTTTTGTAAATATTTGAGTATATCTTTTCATGTGACAACACTGAATAAATGACACTTTGCTACAATGTAAAGTAGTGAGTGTACAGCTTGTATGACAGTGTAAATTTGCTGTCCCCTCAAAATAACACAACACACAGCCATTCATGTCTAAAACGCTGGCAACAAAAGTGAGTACACCCCTAAGTGAAAATGTCCAAATTGGGCCCAAAGTGTCAATATTTTGTGTGGCCACCATCATTTTCCAGCACTGCCTTAACCCGCTTGGGCATGGAGTTCACCAGAGCTTCACAGGTTGCCACTGGAGTCCTCTTCCACTCCTCCATGACGACATCACAGAGCTGGTGGATGTTAGAGACCTTGCACTCCTCCACCTTCCGTTTGAGGATGCCCCACAGATAGATGCTCAATAGCGTTTAGGTCTGGAGACATGCTTGGCCAGTCCATCACCTTTACCCTCAGCTTCTTTAGCAAGGCAGTGGTTGTCTTGGAGGTGTGTTTGGGGTCGTTATCATGTTGGAATACTGCCCTGCGGCCCAGTCTCCGAAGGGAGGGGATCATGCTCTGCTTCAGTATGTCACAGTACATGTTGGCATTCATGGTTCCCTCAATGAACTGTAGCTCCCCAGTGCCGGCAGCACTCATTCAGCCCCAGACCATGACACTCCCACCACCATGCTTGACTGTAGGCAAGACACACTTGTCTTTGTACTCCTCACCTGGTTGCCGCCACACACGCTTGACACCATCTGAACTAAATAAGTTTATCTTGGTCTCATCAGGACATGGTTCCAGTAATCCATGTCCTTAGTCTGCTCGTCTTCAGCAAACTGTTTGCGGGCTTTCTTGTGCATCATCTTTAGAAGAGGCTTCCTTCTGGGACGACAGCCATGCAGACCAATTTGATGCAGTGTGCGGCGTATGGTCTGAGCACTGACAGGCTGACCCCCCCCCCCCACCTCTTCAACCTCTGCAGCAATGCTGGCAGCACTCATACGTCTATTTCCCAAAGACAACCTCTGGATATGACGCTGAGCACGTGCACTCAACTTCTTTGGTCGACCATGGCGAGGCCTGTTCTGAGTGGAACCTGTCCTGTTAAACCGCTGTATGGTCTTGGCCACCGTGCTGCTGCTCAGTTTCAGGGTCTTGGCAATCTTCTTATAGCCCAGGCCATCTTTATGTAGAGCAACAATTCTTTTTTTCAGATCCTCAGAGTTCTTTGCCATGAGGTGCCATGTTGAACTTCCAGTGACCAGTATGAGGGAGTGTGAGAGCGATGACACCAAATTTAACACACCTGCTCCCTATTCACACCTGAGACCTTGTAACACTAACGAGTCACATGACACCGGGGAGGGAAAATGGCTATTTGGGCCCAATTTGGACATTTTCACTTAGGGGAGTACTCACTTTTGTTGCCAGCGGTTTAGACATTAATGGCTGTGTGTTGAGTTATTTTGAGGGGACAGCAAATGTAAATGTACACTGTTATACAAGCTGTACACTCACTACATTACATTGTAGCAAAGTGTAATTTCTTCAGTGTTGTCACATGAAAAGATACACTCAAATATTTACAAAAATGTGAGGGGTGTACTCACTTTTGTGAGATACTGTATGTATGTATATATATGTGTGTATATGTATATGTGTGTATATATATGTGGTCCTCTGTAGCTCAATTGGTAGAGCATGGCGCTTGTAACACCAGGGTAGTGGGTTCGATCCCCGGGACCACCCATATGTAAAAATGTATGCCCACATGACTGTAAGTCGCTTTGGATAAAAGTGTCTGCTAAATGGCATATTTATTTTAAATTTCATGTATGTGTGTGTGTGTGTGTATGTATATACAGTGGGGAAAAAAAGTATTTAGTCAGCCACCAATTGTGCAAGTTCTCCCACTTAAAAAGATGAGAGAGGCCTGTAATTCTCATCATAGGTACACGTCAACTATGACAGACAAATTGAGAAAAAAAATCCAGAAAATCACATTGTAGGATTTTTTATGAATTTATTTGCAAATTATGGTGGAAAATAAGTATTTGGTCACCTACAAACAAGCAAGATTTCTGGCTCTCACAGACCTGTAACTTCTTCTTTAAGAGGCTCCTCTGTCCTCCACTCGTTACCTGTATTAATGGCACCTGTTTGAACTTGTTATCAGTATAAAAGACACCTGTCCACAACCTCAAACAGTCACACTCCAAACTCCACTATGGCCAAGACCAAAGAGCTGTCAAAGGACACCAGAAACAAAATTGTAGACCTGCACCAGGCTGGGAAGACTGAATCTGCAATAGGTAAGCAGCTTGGTTTGAAGAAATCAACTGTGGGAGCAATTATTAGGAAATGGAAGACATACAAGACCACTGATAATCTCCCTCGATCTGGGCCTCCACGCAAGATCTCACCCCGTGGGGTCAAAATGATCACAAGAACGGTGAGCAAAAATCCCAGAACCACACGGGGGGACCTAGTGAATGACCTGCAGAGAGCTGGGACCAAAGTAACAAAGCCTACCATCAGTAACACACTACGCCGCCAGGGACTCAAATCCTGCAGTGCCAGACGTGTCCCCCTGCTTAAGCCAGTACATGTCCAGGCCCGTCTGAAGTTTGCTAGAGTGCATTTGGATGATCCAGAAGAGGATTGGGAGAATGTCATATGGTCAGATGAAACCAAAATAGAACTTTTTGGTAAAAACTCAACTCGTCGTGTTTGGAGGACAAAGAATGCAGAGTTGCATCCAAAGAACACCATACCTACTGTGAAGCATGGGGGTGGAAACATCATGCTTTGGGGCTGTTTTTCTGCAAAGGGACCAGGACGACTGATCCGTGTAAAAGAAAGAATGAATGGGGCCATGTATCGTGAGATTTTGAGTGAAAACCTCCTTCCATCAGCAAGGGCATTGAAGATGAAACGTGGCTGGGTCTTTCAGCATGACAATGATCCCAAACACACCGCCCGGGCAACAAAGGAGTGGCTTCGTAAGAAGCATTTCAAGGTCCTGGAGTGGCCTAGCCAGTCTCCAGATCTCAACCCCATAGAAAATCTTTGGAGGGAGTTGAAAGTCCGTTTTGCCCAGCGACAGCCCCAAAACATCACTGCTCTAGAGGAGATCTGCATGGAGGAATGGGCCAAAATACCAGCAACAGTGTGTGAAAACCTTGTGAAGACTTACAGAAAACGTTTGACCTGTGTCATTGCCAACAAAGGGTATATAACAAAGTATTGAGAAACTTTTGTTATTGACCAAATACTTATTTTCCACCATAATTTGCAAATAAATTCATAAAAAATCCTACAATGTGATTTTCTGGATTTTTTTTTCTCATTTTGTCTGTCATAGTTGACGTGTACCTATGATGAAAATTACAGGCCTCTCTCATCTTTTTAAGTGGGAGAACTTGCACAATTGGTGGCTGACTAAATACTTTTTTTCCCCCACTGTATGTATATACATATATACACATATACATACATATACATACACTGCTCAAAAAAGTAAAGGGAACACTTAAACAACACAATGTAACTCCAAGTCAATCACACTTCTGTGAAATCAAACTGTCCACTTAGGAAGCAACACTGATTGACAATACATTTCACATGCTGTTGTGCAAATGGAATAGACAACAGGTGGAAATTATAGGCAATTAGCAAGACACCCCCATTAAAGGACTGGTTTTGCAGTTGGTGACCACAGACCACTTCTCAGTTCCTATGCTTCCTGGCTGATGTTTTGGTCACTTTTGAATGCTTGCCGGTGCTTTCACTCTAGTGGTAGAATGAGACGGAGTCTACAACCCACACAAGTGGCTCAGATAGTGCAGCTCATCCAGGATGGCATATCAATGCGAGCTGTGGCAAGAAGGTTTGCTGTGTCTGTCAGCGTAGTGTCCAGAGCATGGAGGCGCTACCAGGAGACAGGCCAGTACATCAGGAGACGTGGAGGAGGCCGTAGGAGGGCAACAACCCAGCAGCAGGACTGCTACCTCCGCCTTTGTGCAAGGAGGAGCAGGAGGAGCACTGCCAGAGCCCTGCAAAATGACCTCCAGCAGGCCACAAATGTGCATGTGTCTGCTCAAACGGTCAGAAACAGACTCCATGAGGGTGGTATGAGGGCCCGACGTCCGCAGGTGGGGGTTGTGCTTACAGCCCAACACCGTGCAGGACGTTTGGCATTTGCCAGAGAACACCAAGATTGGCAAATTCGCCACTGGCGCCCTGTGCTCTTCACAGATGAAAGCAGGTTCACACTGAGCACATGTGACAGACGTGATAGAGTCTGGAGACGCCGTGGAGAACGTTCTGCTGCCTGCAACATCCTCCAGCATGACCGGTTTGGCGGTGGGTCAGTCATGGTGTGGGGTGGCATTTCTTTGGGGGGCCGCACAGCCCTCCATGTGCTCGCCAGAGGTAGCCTGACTGCCATTAGGTACCGAGATGAGATCCTCAGACCCCTTGTGAGACCATATGCTGGTGCGGTTGGCCCTGGGTTCCTCCTAATGCAAGACAATGCTAGACCTCATGTGGCTGGAGTGTGTCAGCAGTTCCTGCAAGAGGAAGGCATTGATGCTATGGACTGGCCCGCCCGTTCCCCAGACCTGAATCCAATTGAGCACATCTGGGACATCATGTCTCGCTCCATCCACCAACGCCACGTTGCACCACAGACTGTCCAGGAGTTGGCGGATGCTTTAGTCCAGGTCTGGGAGGAGATCCCTCAGGAGACCATCCGCCACCTCATCAGGAGCATGCCCAGGCGTTGTAGGGAGGTCATACAGGCACGTGGAGGCCACACACACTACTGAGCCTCATTTTGACTTGTTTTAAGGACATTACATCAAAGTTGGATCAGCCTGTAGTGTGGTTTTCCACTTTAATTTTGAGGGTGACTCCAAATCCAGACCTCCATGGGTTGATACATTTGATTTCCATTGATAATTTTTGTGTGATTTTGTTGTCAGCACATTCAACTATGTAAAGAAAAAAGTATTTAATAAGATTATTTCATTCATTCAGATCTAGGATGTGTTCTTTTAGTGTTCCCTTAATTTTTTTTGAGCAGTGTATTATTATGTATATACACATATGTATATACACTGTATTTCTGATCAATTTGATGTTATTTTAAAGGCCCAAAAAATTGCTTTTCTTTCTAAAACAAGGACATTTCTAAGTGACCCCAAAGTTTTTTCGTAGTGTGTATATATATATAAAAATCTTGCATATCTTAATTCATTCCCACAATAGACGAATAATACGCGTAATAATATAAGAAGGATTGTTACCCATAGCAACAGCTGGTAGTAGGAATTCTACATTTTTGTCAACAGATGTGGGATGCATACACTCACTCACCCCACCCCTCCCAAACAAACACCTCTGCCCCTCTCTCCTCTTCCACCCATAGATCGACCCCCCCCCCCCACACACACACACACACACACACAAGCACAAACTCAAATGTTCAACAGTTGTTCCATCCCTGAGCCTCAAGAGAAGACTTGATGTGTGAATGCATATACAGTTTGTCTATGTAAGAAGGCATGCCAAATTGAGCAGGAATGGGAAGATTTGATTAACCAATATCTAGTCCTATCTGATGGAGCCTCCTCCCCCCCAACCCACACACGCTGGTCCCCCATTGTGACCCATCTTCCCAAGCACCTCTGTGCAGTCAGACCGTTTGATTATACTGTGCCTCCAGGGCCAAAATAATATGCCCCCTCTCTGATTGTCCGAGTGTGACTCCTTCCCCATGGGTTACTGCAGCCAGTGTTACAGTTGTTGATTAGCTAACTAGCGAATTTGAGCCATATTAGCATTGACATGAAATCAGTCAAAACACCTCAAAACCACACATGGTATCAATAACAAGATTAAACTAGCTGAAACAAGCCACTTACGATTCCCCACATGGTAGTTTCTTGTCAATGTTGGTTGCTATCTGGCCATCCAGAATCACAACAACACACACAACCCATTAAAGCGTGCACTTTTTTTTTATGACGTTGTCAGCTAACAATTTTGTTAAGAGGGCCTGGGTATGGCTTTGCTTTAGGTGCCTTTGCACCACGTCAGTAAAATAGAATCGAGTTGAAACACCACTGTCTCCATAGAGGGATACACAGCCCAGTCAGAAACAAAACTTTCGATTCTAGGTTTGAAATGCTTTGAAATGACACTGGGAAGCTAGGATATAACTTTTTGTCCTCTCTGTTTCTCTCTCTCCCTCTGTCTCCTCTTCTTTGACCTTGGTAGCTCCTGGAACTGTTTGACAGTGAGGACCCCCGGGAGAGGGACTTCCTGAAGACGGTCCTGCATCGGATCTACGGGAAGTTCCTAGGGTTGCGGGCTTTCATCAGGAAGCAGATCAACAACATCTTCTTGCGGTGAGTGAATAGTGAAGCGCCCCTCTCCCTTGTTCACAGGAGCAAACAGCGGGGCCTCCTTCAAAGACACACAGAACCACACAGGGATCCGTCAAACTGAGTTCAAACCCCCCGCAGCTCGGTACCTAAAAAGTCCATAGTCGTATTCATTAGGGCTTACTGTAGGAAAACGTTTTCAAACGTAATAGAAAAGAGCGTTTCTCATTGGATGAGATCATGAATACCGCAACCTCCCCCGTGTCCCTGGGAGCCCACCCCTGTCAGTTGGCTTCCCCTCTTCTTTCTGTCTATGCCCTGGCTGAGAAGGGGAACTGTCCTGCTTTCTGTCTATGCCCTGGTTGAGAAGGGGAACTGTCCTGCTTTCCGTCTATGCCCTGGTTGAGAAGGGGAACTGTCCTGCTTTCTGTCAATGCCCCGGTTAAGAAGGGAAACTGTCCTGCTGTGAGCGTTTCCCTGGCAGGCTTTCCCAACCAGGTTCTTTCAGGCAGCAGCAGCAGCAGCTTGGGGACAACTGGTAGATAGATGGGACATGATCAAGCCTACGTCAGACCCACAGCACATCTGGTGTCAGTGCAGAGGAAATGTCCTCATGTCAAAGGGTCATAGGGTCAAAAGTCAAGCGGGATTCTCACAAAGGAGTTGGGTTAGAGTGTTACAGTGGCTGAGCACATTTCACAGGTTTTACACATGCTATGATTAGACTCTGAACATCGATGTTAGCAGAGGGGGCCATTTTAGCCGTCCTTATGCGCTCTCTCTCTCCCTCTCTCTTCTCCGTTGTGTCCAATCAGAACCATACGCTCCGCTACTCAGTGTGTAGTCATTTGTAGTTTGATGGTGATGGTGATGATGATTGTGATGGTGTGTTTGTGTTGTCTGATTCTGGTAGGTTCATCTACGAGACCGATCACTTCAACGGAGTGGCCGAACTCCTGGAGATACTGGGGAGGTGAGTCCAGAGGTGTTGTGGTGTGACACTGGGGAGGTGAGTCCAGAGGTGTTGTGGTGTGACACTGGGGAGGTGAGTCCAGAGGTGTTGTGGTGTGAGTTCAAGCATGCATCAATATTATCAAGCACCTTTGACTCTAGCTGCAGTGGTACAGCTAGCACAAGGAACTAGGACATGCAACCATGTACACTCGTATGCCAGAATATCTCCATTTGAGCTAATATGCTCATAACTACATCAGTAGGTCCCTTTAGGCTGTTCTGCTGTTAGCGCCCCATCACCACATAATTCTGGGAAACCCCAGTCGCACTGCTGACCTCTGGCATTTTCCACTTTTTGAGTTAATGGCCACTAGTGGCTCTTCCTGTTTAGTGTTATTTGTAGAAAGCGTTATTTTGTTCCAGCAGTGAAATGTCTCCCTGGTTCTAGCTATGAATAGTCATCTCTGCATCTCAGACCGCCCACACTGCTCTCTGTTTCCTCAGCTATTCTGGATATAGTGGGTGGGTGGGGGGGTTCTGTTGGCTGCATCATCCATACTTTGTGTGTGTCCCATGCATGTGTGTTTGCTAATGCTTGCCTCTCAAGGCGATGATTGATTGAAGTGTTGTTTGTGTCTATCTGCAGCATCATCAATGGCTTTGCACTGCCGTTGAAGGCGGAACACAAGCAGTTCCTGATGAAGGTGCTCATCCCCATGCATACCGCCAAAGGACTGGCCCTGTTCCACGCACAGGTAAACAAATGCGTAATTGATGCTCAATTAAGTTATTAGAACTAGGATCAGAACTGGAATGAAGAGCTCCACCCTCTCTCTTTGCAAGTTACGCGCCGAATGTCCTCTCCCCTTACGAAATTTGAAAGATGCTAAAACCTGCTAAATCATGATTTGTCCAAAGAACCGGAACTAATGCTGTTCGTTATCTCACGCAGACCGTTGTATCACGACAGATCTACAGTACCATTTATGTTTACGTAGTCTGTCCACCAGAGACTACCAAATTCCTAATACAAGATGAATAAATAACCAATTTTAAAGTTGTTGATTTGAACTACTCTCTCTCAGTAGACAACAACTATTCTATTTTTAGCACCTATCTAAATCTGAGAAATGTAACTGGCATAATGTGGGTTTTAAAACGAATTATAGGTCTAAGTTCATAAAATATTATGATATGGTAATTAGCCTAGCTACCCATTTGTTCTGTCAGGTCAGGCTTTGTGAACAGTAGATGACCTAGATGCCTAGTTAAGCATAACTCTCATGAGCTGAAGTGAACTGTGCTCTGAAAAAAGCCTTGGATAACAGTGCCATCTAGTGGCCGTAGAATGAACTTGAAAGCTCTGATAGTATTGTATACAGAACGCACCACATGGGAACATTTATGTTAACAGTAAGTACATAATATCACTACCTGTTCTGTTTCCTTTTAGCTGGCCTACTGTGTCGTCCAGTTCCTGGAGAAGGACCCCACCCTCACAGAGCCGGTACTCTAACCAACTAACATTCCTCAAATTCTACTATTGGGACACTAGGTTGTGGATGCCAGCTCTCCCTTGGAGCTGTAGGAATGTTGTTGTGTGCTATGAATCTGTCTGTGCAGGTTTCATATAGGGGACAAACAATGTTAGCTTTCTCAAACAAGTTTGAGTCCAAAATCATGAATAGTTCATATTGTACCTAGCTAAATGGCATGTAAAATGCTGCAGCACTATCGACCTATGCACAGTACTGTAGGTTTGTTGACTAAAGACAAAGACAAAAAAACTAAAGGCTCTTCCTTGGAACTTAGTGTCATCTGTTCAATCCTCAGGTGATTCGGGGGCTGTTGAAGTTTTGGCCCAAAACCTGTAGCCAGAAGGAGGTATGTCTGTCTGTCTGTCATGACTGGTAGATGACACCAAACACTGGAACAGATGCTGTACCTTGTATACCATAAGTGTGGTTCTGAACAGTGTACTGGCTTCTCTTGAGCATCTGACTTCCTCATGTGTCTATTGTTGTTTCCCACTTGCCCTAGGTGATGTACCTGGGGGAAATGGAGGAGATCCTGGATGTCATTGAACCCACCCAGTTCAAGAAGATCCAAGAGCCCCTGTTCAAGCAGATCTCCAGATGTGTGGCCAACCCCCACTTCCAGGTACAGTCTTGACTGCCTTGAATTTCAACGTACTTTTAGCTCCTAGTGAAGCAAATGTTATCAATAAAAGTGCATCTCCAGCGAACTCTGATCTGGGACGTTTTCTTGAGTTTGTTTCAGGTGGTTCCTCATACAGTACATTAAAACTATTTCTGCTCACCCCTATTCAGCTGCCTCCTCCATTCACTGCTACATTTACTTTTTTCCCCTTTCATTTTTCATAACCACCTCGAGAGCTATACAGCACTTCTCTAAATGGGTTTTCTCTCTGGCAGTGGAGCTGTGAAAATGGCCGCCCTATACTTAACATGTTCCTGTCATTTGTTAGAATGCCAGCCCGACTCATTTCCTGTTGATCCTTACAGGTAGCGGAGAGAGCCCTCTACTTCTGGAACAACGAGTACATCCTGAGCCTCATTGAGGAGAACATCGACAAGATTCTGCCTATCATGTTTGGTAGCCTGTACAGAATCTCCAAAGAACACTGGAACCCGTACGTATGCCACTCTCCGGTTCTCAACCCATTGCCCCTCAGGGTAAAGCAGTAACAAGCAACACCATGCATAATACTGGAGTCTCTTACCTATAGTTGGCGTAGAGGTGGGGCTTTATGTTTTCTGCTAAATCCCTCTCTAACTAACTGTATGTATAACAAAATGGTCATGTCTCCAGATATCAATGTCATGTTTCCTCCAACATCCTGTCACTGAAATACCAAATGAATGTTTTTCCAGTTATCCAATCTCAGCATTGCTACTGTAGGATTGACTTAGAGACGGTACATATCCTCTGGATGTATTTAAGTCGGATGCCATTATCCGTTGTGTGTTTCCAGGACGATTGTAGCTCTGGTCTACAACGTGCTGAAGACCCTGATGGAGATGAACAGCACACTATTTGACGAGCTGACAGCCTCCTACAAATCAGACAGACAGCGGTGAGTGAGCTCCCTCCAGCTCGTATATTCATTCTTGTTATTTTTCAGTATAAACAAACTATTACAATAACAAGTCAGGTATAATGTATGAAGTTGGGAAACAAAGCTGGCCTGTGTGCATGGTACAACACATAATACACTGGATTACATTACCTCTGTTAGCTACCCATTTTCAAGGACAGTCAGTCCTTTAGTTTCCCCTCCATAGTTAAGGTCTGACAGCGTTGTGTTTGGTGTGTCTTGTGTGTGTGTCTTGTGCGTGTGTGTGTCTTGTGCGTGCTTGTGTCTCCAGGGAGAAGAAGAAGGAGCAGGAGAGGGAGGAGCTGTGGAAGAAGCTGGATGAGCTGAAGCTGAGTGATGCAGCGGCACTGGTGCAGAACAACAGCCACGAGCTCCAGAACAACAACAGCAACAACAACAACAATCAACAAGACAACCAGGAGAAGGGCACCGCTGTCGTCGCCATGGATACCGCAGAGAGTGTCAGAAGTGCCAAATGACACAGGACTCCATTTTGTACTCCGTAACGGTTTCCAGGCCGTCTGAGAACTGTCAGGGAGGGGCTTGGGGAGGAGGGGCTTGAGAAAATAGCCACAAAAAAAAGAGATAAACCTCATCAGTATGTTAAATCTATATACAGTAAAACTACTTCAAATGCCAGAAATTCTCCTTTGGCAGAAAACGTATATTTCAACTTAAGACTATTTTGGGATGTTACAGTGTGACCACAGTATATTGGTAAACTTTTTTTGTCTGATCAAAGAATTTATCCTTTCACATTTAATTTCTTAACTGAGAAAAGTTTTTTTTTTTTGGTGATATTCAATGTATGAAAAATATAGGAGGGGGGAGAAAATGACTTGAAAATAACCTTTCTGATTGTGCTGCACTTCCAGAAGCTAAATGGCTATTTTAAAATGTGTTTATTTTGTATGTGCTTTCATCACTGCTGCCAACACAGGGGTGCAAACTGTAGGGAAGAGGGGGTCGGGTGGCGAGCTTCGGGGGGGGTGACTATGGAGAAAGGACTGTGTTCATAGTCTCTACATCGGAGACCTGAGTGAATGTCACTATCATGAGGTCTTGTGTTTTCGGGTGTTTGATATTTGTATCTGAATACATGAAGCTTAATGTTATAGCCGTTATTATAACACATTCAAGACCTGCAGCCATACAACCTATTTTCAGTAAGTATTTGAAATTAGTTAGAAACAGGCACAGATTTAAGTACGTATAACATATTTTTCCAGTCTGAATAGAGAATTGATTAATAAGTAAAGTAGAAAAAAGAAATGAAATGAGCCATATATATTTTTTTCAGAGTAATGTTAAAGGCAGAGATGTGGATTTTTGAAACCAGGTGGTGGCAGATTGCCGATTGTCTGGTTTCTGCAGATTTAAACGTGGCTGGATGAAGTGTGTGCGTATGGGGGTTGGGGGAGTTTGCTTTAACGTGTCTGTTCTCTATTGTAGGTCCAGTCTTTTCTGATGCCTTTCTGTCAGAGTGTACCATTCCAATCTCTGTGACATGCAACTGTGTGGGGAACCTGTTTTGTAATAACTGACCTTTATCTAGGTTTTAAATCAAAATAAAGTCTACCATATGTTTCTACTCTAAAACCACAGGACTATGGCTCTTTCTTTAGTCTTTGTCACAACATGGCGCCAGAGTTTAATATTTATCTTCTGTTGGAATTGTAGTATGCTTATTTGAAAACCTATCTATCAAAAGTTAAATATAGGCCTTGATTCAATCAGATCAAGCGTTGACCTTCATTGGCAGACATCCACATAGCAGATGTTTTGGAGGTGTAACCGGTATGAGCTGACCAATAGGTGAGCAGCTGCTCTTGTGTGTCACACACACCACTCCCTTCTTTATTGGTCAGTGCTATCCGGACCGGGATCCTTGGGACATCCATACCCTAAACTCTAACCTTAACCCCTACCCTAACCATTGTACATTTCAACTTCAATGAGGTAGGATTCCAGATAGCATTTCCTTATCCCTACAGCGTTAGAAGTTCAAAACGGCGATAGGAAGTGTAGGCTAATGCATGTTTTCATGTTCATTTGGATGGGGGATTTATAGCCTGTCAGTCTAATCGAGGCGTAGACAATAGACAATTATGCATTCAAGTGATTGACCTTTCAACACGGCTGCATGGGATTTGTCAGATTATAAAGTCGGGTGGTTTCGTTGCATCCAATGGCAGTGCATAGAGCTAGATAGTGGACTCATCTTTGTATCTGTTCCCCCAACAATACACATTTTTATTGTAGTTCTGGACAAGCACATCTGATTAAACTTGTCAACTAATCATCAGGCCCTCAATTAGTTAAATCAGGTATGTTTGTCTGGGGCTCCAATAAAAAGGTGTGCTGTTGGGGGTACTCGAAGACTGGAGTTGGGAAACACTGCATTATAGCATCTGTGACAGCATGGGCAGCACCATTTAGGCTATCTCCATTTTGAAGTAGTCCATTTTCTTGACGATTGACTGATTCCCTCCTGATGACCCAGTTGGACATGACACCAAAAGGGTCACCAGGAGGGATCAGCCAATGAAGTTGGAAGTCTCACCCAGTTGATTACATTAAAATGGTGGAAGCCCTCAATGGCGCTGCCCATGCTAATATGGCCTTTTGTCCAATAGAGGCCTCTATCATTCTCTATGTGTGGATCTGATAGAATCTAGCCCATTGTTTTTCTCAAAGTATTCAAACCCAGCACAGGTTTCACATTTTATTGCCTTAAAATGTCCTTTAAAAATATATTAACTTTGGATTTTTCCCCACTGATCTTCTACATAACCTCTACATTTAAAATGAAAACATTTTTAGAAAATGTCTAAAATGTATTGGGGCATACAAGTTTTATTAAATGTTTAAAGGATTTTATTTTTGGAAAAGTGAGGCGAGCAAGCAAATATTAGTTTTTAAATTTAATAAACCCTATTGTTAAAATACTATAGCAACCTTAGTTCAACACCAATCAAGAGATTTTAGCCTCTTGGGAAGGCTATTAAAGGCATTGTTCAGCCATAATCTGAGAGAAAGTTGTGTATCTCTTTACTGGAAGCTTGAGGGCACTATTTTTGCTATAATTGTGCAATCTGTCCATACAACCTTTACATTTTTCATAGCCTTACAAAAAAACAATAAAACAGATATCGAATATCTCTTTGAGCATGGTAAAGTTATTAATTACACTCTGGATGGTGTATCAATACACCCAGTCACTACAAAGAAACAGGCGTCCTTCCTAACTCAGTTGCCGGAGAGGAAGGAAACCGCTCAGGGATTTCACTGAGGCCAGTTACAGAGTGATAGGAGAAAACTGAAGATGGATCAACAACAACTAACCTTATTGACAGAGTGAAAAGAATGAAGCCTGTACAGAATAAAAAATATTCAAAAACATGCATCCTGTTTGCAACAAGCCACTAAAGTAATACTACATAAAATGTGGCAAAGAAATTAACTTTCTGTCCTGAATACAAAGCAAATGCAATACAACACATTACTGAGTACCACTCTCCATATTTTCAAGCATAGTGATCACTGCATCATGTTATGGGTATGTTTGTAATAGTTTAGGACTGGGGAGTTGTCAGGATTAAAACAAATGGAATGGAGTTAAGCACAGGAAAAAATCCTAGAGGAAAACCTGGTTCAGCCTGCTTTCCACCAGAAACTGGGAGATGAATTCAACTTTCAGCAGGACAATAACCTAAAACACAAGGCCAGATCTACACTGGACTGCTTACCAAGAAGACAGTGAATGTTCCTGAGTGGCCAAGTTACAGTTTTGACTTAAATCTGCTTGAAAATCTATGGCAAAACCTGAAAATGGATTTCTAACAATGATCAACAACCAATTTGACAGAGCTTGAAGAATTTTGAAAAGAATAGTGGGCAAATGTTGCACAATCCAGGTGTGGAAAGCTCTTACAGACTTACCAAGAAAAACTCACAGCTGTAATCAGTGGCGATTTTAGCATGTAAATCTTGGTGGAGCAAACTGTTTTTTTGATGTGCATGCCAGCAAAGCCACTACACAGCACAACACTAAACAATACATTAATTGCACTATAACGGTGACAAATGGTGCCCACAAACTGTTAGGGCCTACATAAAGCTGTCCAAACGGCAGAGCTTTCTTTTCAGCAACATGGAGTGAATCCTTACCACTGCTACACCTGGCTATCAGCAGAGCCTTGTCTGGCAGCGAAACATTTCATTCAACCTCATTTACCTACTTTTTTTTTTTAAACATAGCTGATATGGCTGACTTGCTTAAACAAATATGGTTTCTACTGACAATTGAGATGTACAAACTATGGCATAAGGAGACGACGAACGGATATGAGGCAATCCGTAATTTCGATGAAGACATTAATGAGCAAGCTAGGACGGACGTGGTCAACATAACTATTTGTTCAGCACTTTTGAAATGTACAGCGACATAATACACTTAGTATTACTTTCTTAGCTACAGTATACATATCTCCCTGGCATATTACATAATTTATGCAGCAGCATACAATACATTTTTGGACTCACCTTGTTGTGCTGTGCTCACTTCAACAGGAAGGTGGCGCGGCGGTCCTTCGTGAGCAAATTTTGTCATCAAACTTTGTCATTACAGTTTTTCTCGATTGCTAAAACACATTTCTTGAAAGCTGCTCTCCTTTTCTCTTAACTGTGAACACAAAACCCAATTTTCAAGCTACATTCACAAAACCTCAGACTCTTCTTGCAAAACCAAACTTTCACCTCAAAACAATTCAATCTGTGCTCAAAACTGAACTATGTTGTCAAATCGTGCCCCGAGTCAATCAAAATAAAAAACACTACTGAACAGTCACTAAACACTACGTAGAAAAATAGAAAACACAATGCTCAGGACATGAAGCTGGAGAAATAAATGTTTATTGTTCACTGTAGGCTAAATGCATGTTGCAAAACAAAAAAAAACTGTGCATTTAGCACTTGTACAAAAAGACAAAACAGAAATATTGTGCATTTACATGTAGCACTTGTAAAAACAAACATAAATCTTATGCGTTTGCCACTTGTGTACAGTAAGCCCATGTAAAAATAAAGTACAAAAATATACAAATAAGTGCATTACTCAGCCACAGCATCATGTCTCCGTACTGGGTCAGGCCACAGGACTTCATCCACATCACAGGCCACATTTTGTCTGGCCAGGCAACGGGGGAAAAAACCCCTGGCATGCCGTATCCAGGCTTGGCATGCCTCCACACCTATGTCACCACAGGCAAGTCCCATGGCTTGCAGGAGATTTACCCTGGTGTAAGGTTGGCGTTCATATACCTTCCACCGCCATGAGGAGAATAATTCCTCAATGGGGTTTAGGAAAGGGGAGTACGGTGGAAGGCAAAGATTGATAAAACCTTGGTTCATATTGTACCACTCTCTAACCTGGAGGGCTCTGTGAAAACTCACATTGTCCCAAACAACAACATAGATG